ATCCCTCCCTCTCCACCCATGTTATCTATTAATACCATTTGGGTTTTTTTGTTTTTTTTTTTTTTTAAGCCTCAGATGAACAGGACAGCATGACATTGAAATTATAAGGTATAAATACCTCCACCTTAATTTAGTGTACAAACAATTTCAGAGCCAAGAAAATCCAAGAACATGTTGTTTGCAAGGACCCTAATACTGACAAACCTGGTTTTCTCATCCAAAAAAAATTCTGTAGCCTCGTTATTTTAAATCATAGAAAAGATGATAAAAAACCAAAAAAACTCTTATTGTGCTGCCTCTCACTGCTCTGCCCTTCACCCCTCCCCACCCCAACCCCACTGAGGTTTCCCTGAGTCACAGTTCATTACCTAGGCTGCCCATTCAGGCCAGCAAATGCCAGAACGACTGGGAGGAATACCACAAGTGTCTGTGGTGTTTGTCTGTCTGTTTGGGTTTGGTGAGGCTTCTAGCAACCAGGAAATGACATTCTATTTTCTAAGTCTTGACTTGTCTTGACTCTGTCACTAATTGGCTAAATGACCTTGAACAAATCATTTCACTCGGTGTCTATATGCATATAATGCAGAAGAAAATGATCTCCAGATTCTTTCCGGTTACAAGATTTCTGTTAAAGTCTAGCTCAGGGTCTTTTCTTGGCCTTGAACAGAGCCATTACTTGGCTTCACACAACAGTCTAAGTACAGTGGAAAGGTAATGAATGCTGAATATGTGTGGGGCCCCAAGCTGGCTAAGCCCCAGAAGCAGGTGAGCCCAGGGCATGTGTTGGGTGAAGAGAAGGTAAAGGTGGCTCCAGGTAGTCCAGAGGTTATTCAAAGGCACACGAAGAACAAGATAGTTTTAGAAATGCAAGTGGCTCAACATTTTGGGGGCAGAGAAAACCCTCAATTTTCCATTTTGGAAAGGAGGAGGCAGGAGCAACATCAATGATAATAATATGGTGTCAGGAGGGTCAGGTAAGGTGACTTTAAGGAATATAATGGGGGCCCTCGGATTCGTAGGAGTTGATAAGACAACAGATGAGGCAGTGATGGTTAGAAAATAGTGAAGTATGACTCCCTAGTTTCTGGGGCCATTTACCAAGAAAGAAACATAGAAAGAAAAATAGTGTGGTTTAAAATACTTTGGGGAGGTGCCAGGATAGCTCAGTCAGTTAAGCGTCTGACTCTTGATCTCAGCTCTGATCTTTATCTCAGGGTTGTGAGTTCAAGTCGCACACTGGGCTCCACATTGGCCATGGGCTCCACACTGGCCATGGAAACTACTTAAAGGAACCTATTTAAAAAATAATAATAGACATGGCAGTCTGAAGATACTCAAAAGGGAATGTCCAAGAGGTGGACATTTGGACAAGAGTGGAGACACTGGCCTAGAGTATAAGAGACAGCTCCAGGGTAGGAAGCCACTCGTGGCTGAAACTCTTATAACGAATGAAATTATAAAGTTGTCCAGGGAGAATGACATCATTTGAGAAAAACTGAGGACTTACTAAGGATGTAGAAACTCCAGGGACTGGAGGGGACATGGAAGCAAGAAAGAAAAAGATTTCAAGGAGATTGTGTCAAATACAGTGCTTAGCCAGAGACATTTCAGTGATGTGACAGGGAAACTGAAGAACAGTGGGAAGAGGAGTAATTGAAAAATGAGGAAGTAGAGACAGCAAATGCAGATATCCTTTCAAGAAATCTATGCAGAGAAAGCATCTCCTGCCCCTGGAGAGTGAGGGAAAGCTTCCCAGAATTTCATTTAAAGAGAGTGGCAACAGAATAGAGCAGCCATTATGGAAAACAGAGAGAGCAGGTCTGCTTATCTGCATAGTCCACTGCGGTGTCCCATTCCCCAGCAGTGTGCCTGCCCACGAGCAAGCTTGGTGATGTTGAATGAATGAGGGGCATGCCGAAGGTCTGCTGAGGGATTCTGAAGAGCCGGTTGAGACCCAAGATCACACATGGGTCATGATGGTGATTTTTATGGAGGTTTAGGTTTCCTCAGTAGTGCTCAGCTCCCTGGTATGGAGAGAAGTTGAAAAAGTCTAGATTTTGGTTCTGAAAGGCAGGTATGCCAGAAGGTGAGGGTCTTAAGCAAGTTAGGAGGTTTAGCAAGGGATCTGAGTATCAGTTAGGAAGATGATATTTGGGAGGCCTAATTTTATTTACATACACACACACACACACACACACACACATATAATGGGCCCACTGGGGTTCAAGAGCTAGTATGTTCATACTTTGTAAAAAATTATACTTTTAGTCAGAAATAAGTGACCGAATAACCAAAAGCACTAGATTAAGAAATAAAATGGGACTGCTCTACACACTCTCGTACCCAAGCCTGGGCACAGGGCAAATCCTTACATACCTGTTGACTTTATGAAATTCATTTGTATGGCCTAAGGCGGAGATGACTTTTGGTTTTACTTCATCTTCTCCTGTCACTCCACAGAACACGTTTTCCGGGAGAGAGCTACCACAGACATTGAAAAGTTCTTTCTAAAAGAACTGCTCTTCTGTCATTCCAAAATGCAATTTCTGCATCCCTCACTGAGCATAATTATTAGGAAAAAAAAAAACAAACTTCAGCGTCTAGTGTCAACTTTAAATTATGTTATGTTATGAGGATATTATTCCCCAAGAGGTCCAGTTCTTCCACTTTGATTTCCCAAGAGAATTCAGAGTAGAAATTTAGGCAGGTTTAATATGTCTTTGGGAAACTAGTATATTAATCCATTTTGCTCTTTACTTTCAATTATCTTCACATTTCCCCCCCCAATTCCTGGATTTTTCAATCTTTGAGGAGACAACTATTTATTTGTATGAATGTTTTCCCTGTCAAAGGAAGGAATATCATTAACTTACCTGAGCAAACTGTTTTCTAATTATTCCATATTTTCTTCTAATTGCCTCCTCTACCTCCCGAGCCAGCATCCACCACTTGACATTTTCGCTTTGGTCAAGTGTACAAGAAGTAGGGAAGCCAGTACAAACTACCAGGGTCCTGTGCTGGGAAGAGGGCCTGAAGCCACACTGTTGTTATATATCAATTAAAATCTCTTAGGAAGATTTCTCTGAGACCACGGGAACAAAATTCTCACCAGGTTGTTGACCTCTGTTTTCTCCTGTATTTTTTATGGAGAGTTAACATTACCCAAATTGTGGCATGCAAAACCACAGAAATAATTTTCTCCATGCCTCTGTATCCCAATATTGTTGACTATGCTCCGTTAAAAAACAAATAATTTTACAAAAGTATGCATGAAAAGGTAAATGTGAGAACAACGGCTACTTACTATTTAACAGTTTTTCAAGGTGGAAATTTGGATATGTCTTTTACACTTATTCCAATTTCATGTGAGCCAAAAAAAGCTATTAAAAAATCTGCATTCTCTGCATTATGAAAACTACACACAGAAATGCAGGATTACAAAGGAAATTATGCTTATAAAGAATGCTTAGGATGTAGCAAAGGAGGGTAGAGCACTTTTTGTTTTTTTGCATGCCATGGACAAAAGATTTTTAAATGTGTAAAACAGAAATGATTTCATAGGAAACCAATTATGTTGAAATAGTTATTAAAAGTGGAATAAAAGTATTGTTAAGTATGTGTTTTTTCTCACACATCAGTAACAAGATTCTGTGGTCATCTGATAACTACTATAATTTTACAGTAGTGATTAGCATAAACAGTATTTCAGGATTTCTGCCACAATGGTAATAGGATATGAAAATATCAGTGACAGAGTCAGAGGTACTATTAATGCTACTGAAGTTTATTACTTCCATTTATAGATGAAGGAAATGCTAGATTTCAAGTATAGAAGTTAAGTGAAAGTCACAGACCTCTCCCAAACTAGGAATCTCTCAATTGGAGGATCCTAGTGAATCTTTCAAAAAGCTTCCTACTGTATTCAACTTAAACCTTCTATATAAGAAAAAATGAATGCCTTGCGGATTTTTTCAGAAATAAGGCAAATTTATACTATCAGCTCCTCCTCTACCCTATTTTATACTATACTAATTGAGAATTATACAAATTAATTACAAAAGGTCCTCAAAAGCTGTACTAGTTTTACACTATATATTGGTATTAGTGAAAACATTTCTAAGAGAAACTGTATATATTTGTGTTACTTCAATTGATCTTTTAAAATTACATTCTTAAATGTCCCTGTGTAACTCCATGAAGCAACTATGTATCCTGAAAGACAACTCAAATATCACCAGAGCTTAATTCAATCTAGAAAAATAAAACATTATTTTTTTTAAAAAAGTGGGTCTCAGCTTAAAAGAAATAGCTCTGAAAATCTCCATGCACCCAAACTCACAAATATACAAGCTAAGAATAAACTTAGAAAATACTATTAAAACATCACTTTGAAGTCACTGCCACTTGGGTTCTTCTGAATAGCAATAAATTCTTCAATGAAATCATGCAAAACTTCTGAGTGGGGGAGAAAGACAGAAAAATGAGGGGAAAGACAGATGGGGGCGGGGTGGGCGATGAGAAAGGCAGATGGAGAGAGCTATGGAAGGTGTACTTTGGAGTAACAACTCAACTGAGACAAAACTTGGCTTCCAGGCCAGATCTGCAAAGATAGAAGCTTCTCTAGGGACAAAACAGACCTATTCCTAGAGATGAAGGACACCCTTTTGTTCCTGTTCCTTCGGCACCACCTTTTTTTAATATCCCCCCAAACTGCAGTTCTCTATTCTTAAACATTTTAGTGTGTATTTAGACAGTGAAACAATAGTTGTTTTTTTTTTTTTTTTTTTTAAAGTAGATCAAGATGACAGTGTGGGCAAACAAAGGAAAGAATTCAAAGAACATAATACAACATGGGGCAAAAAGACCCCAGGAAAACTATGAAGGCACCAAGACAAAAAATACACAATATAGTATTCATCAAAAACGGTTTTAGTTGAAGTCAGAGGAAAAAGAATATAACCCAGTTAAACTTAACACTTTGAATTTTCTCTTTCTTCCAGATTGTCAGTGGAGAGACCACAGGATATTTGGACATAAATTAAAGTATGGATTACACATCAGTATTATCTTCAGTTCATTAGCTTATTTAAATATTTTTATTCTTCAAACCTTCAGAATTTTTTTTTTTTTTTTTTTTTTTTTACAACGCTAATACTATAGCTAAAGTAAATTTTAGGTTAAAGTGAAAGAAAAATGTCTTGATTTATCGTGAGCATCTGAGATAAAGTTTTGCTGTGAGTTGTCACCTCTGATATTTGAAGACAAAAATTATATCCAATGAGCAATACTTTGATACTATTTTCCCTCTGTATACTTAACAAATTGCAAGAGACTCATGAGTCATCAGCCAGTTTTCGTCAGAAGATTCAAAACATCCTGCACATTCTGTATCTTTTCCCAAAAACTTCCCCCTTTGAGAATTGTAGTATTACGCAGTGTCTAGTGCTATTATTGTAACTATGAAATAATTCTTTGAAATCCCTCTAAAATGAATGGAAACTTTTATCATAATTAGCATCATTCCAAATGATAAAATATTTTCTTAAAGTGGAAGGTTTCCAGAACTGCAAATCCATGCCACATCCTACTGGTCACCTGAGAGATACCCGGCTCAGTATATAGGGCCCACAGTAGTACACTGCTTATTCGTAGGAGACACTTGGTAAGATCACCTTTTAGCACCTGCCTGCTTTCTTTTAACACTGTAAAACCTATGAAGGGGGTGCCTGGGTGTCTCAGTGGGTTAAGCCTCTGCCTTCGGCCCAGGTCATGATCTCAGGGTCCTGGGATCAAGCCCCGCATCGGGCTCTCTGCTCCGCAGGGAACCTGCTTCCCCCTCTCTCTCTGCCTGCCTCTCTGCCTACTTGTGATCTCTCTCTCGCTCTGTCAAATAAATAAAATCTTTAAAAAAACAAACAAATAAATAGAACCTGTGAAGAATGTAATATACATACATATATCATTAACTACAACCTAAGGCACTTTGTAACAGATCTCCTCCCCTCTCTCCTACTCCAGGGCACCCTTCTCTCACCTTAAGTAGTTCATTATCAGTAACAGGCAACCAATGTCTCCCATTTCTAAAAACATTCCCCTTCAGTTAAATTCCTTGAACGAGAGTAGGCTAGACTCGCCATCTTTAATTCCTCTCTTTTCATTCTCTTTAGAACCATCTTCAATCAGACTTTTGTCCCCATCACAACACCAAAAGCATGAAGGTCACCAATGACCCTCACAGGACAATGTCAAGGGTCATTTGGTTTCCAAGCTGTCCTTCTTTCATGGTGCCTTCTCCATCACCAGTTACTCATCCTTTTTTATTTTAAATGGTTCCTCTTCCTTTTCTGACCTCTCTATATAAGAGTAGTCCAGGACTCCTGCATCCTGTGCAGTAGTTCTTAACTCTGCATGCATATTGAAATCCTGTGGGGAGCTTCTAAAGGATACTGATAACTTAGCCACCCCGACCGCATTCCAGATGAATTAGAATTTCTTGGGGCAAACCCAGACAGTGGTAATTTACTTCCTATATTTTTTGCCCAGAATCTCTTACTCCAGATACCCAGGTGCCAGGGCTGAGAACCCCAGCCCTAGGGGATGCCGTCCACCGAACATTCTATACCTTATATGATGGCTCATAAAATATATCTCTCGGGCTGCAGACCATTCCTCTGAATTCAACTCCTCCTTTCACATCACCACTTAAATAAAGGGTATCTCAGATCCATGGCCATGACTAAAATCCTTATCTTCCTCCACCAATGAAACCCTGTTCGTCCGGTAGCCTTCTCATCTCCATTAATGAGAACTCATTACTTGAGACTGCTTAGGCCAAAAAAACATGGGAGTCATCCTTAACTTTGTCTCTCACACTGAAATCTTAGCATTCAGTAACTTAGTCTGGCCTTCAAAATACTTTCCTATGCAATATCTCACCACCTCCACCACTGCCGCCCTGGTCCAACCCAGCCATCTTCCATCTGAATTACTGTGGGAGACACAAGGCAGGCTTCCACCTTCAGCCCTCATGGGCCTATAGTGGACTCTCAGCACCAGAGGCAGGTAATGCTTAAAAATGGTAAGTTAGATCATGTCCTTCATCTGTTCAAAACCCTAACAATAGCTCATCAGCATCCCCGTTATCTGCTCTCCCTTTGCTATTCAAATGTCTTAGAGACATTTGATTTTAGAGTGAAATGTCTGAAGGTGTCCAATGTCTTTACTTCTGGGAACAACAAAAGAGATAACAGGATCCCATTTCCATCTTTCTTAAAGACTGGAGGAAAAGAATCACAACTTTTGTCAGATTCTCAAGCCCATGAACGAAAAATGAATCACTGTGTAAGAGACTATCATAATCAATATTCCAACTTATTACAGGTTAGGTCTTAACCTTTTCAACCTTTTGCCTGCAATAGTAATTCAGTTAACAGTAGGCCACATTAAAAGATAAACTTACTTTACATACATTTTAAAATTAACCTATCTTCTATTTTTCTGGATTATGCAGTAGTTTCCTTACTAATCTTTCTTATACTTTTCTTGTAACTGTTTAACTGCTTTTTTTACTTGTTGATGTTGTATTTCCTTTCTTATACTATATATATATATATATATATATATATATATACACACACACTACTTATATACTTATATATAAGCTATGATTTAAATTGAATTCTAAATTTCCATCAACTTGTGGTCCAAAATATAATAGTGAGAAATTTGGAGGCACCTGGGTGGCTCAGTGGGTTAAAGCCTCTACCTTCGGCTCAGGTCATGATCTCAGGGTCCTGGGATCCAGCCCCACATCAGGCTCTCTGCTCAGCAGGGACCCTGCCTGCCCCTCGCTCTCTCTGCCTGCCTACTTGTGATCTCTCTCTCTGTCAAATAAGTAAATAAAACAAAACAAAACAAAAAAAAAAAAAACATAAACGAGAAATTTGGAACACAGAATACTAACCGCCCACCCTGTCCATGCCTTCCATTCAAATGCCAGTTAGTGTTCCTGGAATGAGGTAGGAGTGAGGGCTTGAGATAGGCTTTTAATCACTTGAAGTCACATTTCCTCATACCCAGCCATTCCATAGAAGTTACTCAAAAGGCTTCTAAGATTAACCAACCACACAACAGAGTATAGTCATCTAGGTTAACAATTCAGTAAATGCTTCTTGGGCCGCTCAGTTGTCTGGCTTGGTAACTGAACTCAAGAGCTGAATTCTTCAAGAAGTTAATGTTACTACCTTTTTATATAATCAAACTTTGCCACTCTCCTAGATCCTTTCTACTGAAATGTAGACACATTCAAAGCTTTCCCCTCTTAAAACAAAACCACCTCCCTGGACCCACACTTCCATTCTGGACTATAGCCTTTCTAGAACTATTGTTATCAGTGTGTTTCCTCAGCATTCCACTGCCCACATCATCCTGGCTGCTTTGTGAAATGGCTCTAAATTAGGTCACCCAATGACGTCCACAATGAAATCCAACAGAATTATTTCAGTATTCATCCTGCTGAACCTGTCAATTATCCAGTGCAGCCTTTTCCTAAAACATTCTTTCCATGACACTACCTTTCCCTTTTTTTCCCCCCTCAGCAAGATAATCATCCTCCTATCTTTGCCTCTGACCTCTCCTGTAGGTTATCTTCTCAGTGTCTTGGCCTCACTCTGACTTTCTCTATTTGACATCACCTATGAAGAGGAGTCTGAACTTTCCATGGGATTCCTCCCAAGCGCACAAGCTGAACTCCCATTCCCAGCCCACCAAACTGGCTGGCCTCCAGTGATCCCTGAATCACTTAGCTTTCAGCCATCTGATCTTTTCTCTTCAATCTCTTAAGAAAACTCATCCAAATTCACAATGTCAAGTATTCTGTGAGAATATAAGTTAGCATACTTGCTTCTAACTCCTCCCAAGCTCCAAGCATGTATTTCCAAATGCTCTTGGATTGTATGTTATCATTTGAAATTCAATATGTCTAAAACTCAACTTCTGGTCATCCTCAAGCTACACTGAGCTGCACACGATTTCCTAATTTCTGTTCATTTTCCCAACTTATTGAAATAGAAAACTAAGGTCAGTCCCCATTAGGATGGATGTCTGACTGCTGTTCAGCTCTACTCACTTTTAACCCTGGGACCCAGCAATTAATCCTGACACCCTGAAGAAAACCTCTGGTTCTCGGTGCTCACCTTCAGCACAAGTCACAGGGTTGCAAATATTTATCCCAGAACAGCCTCGCTGCTGTACCTGCCCAGTGCTGTCTGATCTATTAAAAACACCACTGAAACTTTTCACTACGAATGCAAAAATTAAAGTGATGGTGTATTAATAGGGTCGTAAGATTTATTCAGTTTTTCCATTGAGCCTATTCTTCTGAAGCTGGGTTTCTGAACAGTCTCTTCACTCTGCCACCCCACACCCCAGAGCTTCCTGGCCAATCTATCTGTATCTCCATTGTTTAATTTCCTCCCCACCCACCTCCTAAGTGAATGCTAAGTTCATTTAAATTGTTAGAGCAGTGGTCTAAGCAACTTGTCTACAAAACCCAAAGCCAAAGGTAAAGGAGGTGAAATGCATACCTAGCTGATGGCCTCTCTCTCTTCTTTCACCGGGCCTGCAAAGGGCTCAGCTCCTTTATTTATTTATTTTTTAAATTATTTTTATTTATTTGACAGACAGAGATCACAAGTATGGAGGGAGGCAGGCAGAGAGAAAGGAGGAAGTAGGCTCTCCACGCAGCAGAGAGCCCGATGCGGGGCTCAATCCCAGGACCCTAGGATCATGACCTGAGCCGAAGGCAGAGGCTTTAACCCACTGAGCCACCTAGGCGCCGGCCCCATGCTCAGCTCTTTTAAAGAAGCAATCTAAGGTGTTTCAAATGTTAAGTTATATGTATTTCAGGACCTTATAAAATCTTTCCTGTGCTCCTCATCAAACTGATGGGTATGGGAATAATTTAATCTACAACATATATTACAGAGTTAACCTATTTTTCTCAACTCTAAAGGACGTGTGTTCAAATATTTGCATTTAGCCCTAAAGACACACTTACCATTTATAAATACTTTGGATAGATAATCTGTTCAATTAAAAAAAAACAAAACACAGCTGATTAAATATCTCAAGTGAGCAAAATGATTTATATATGCAGAATGATTTATACTTTGACACTGTCAACTTTGATCAGGACTTCCTGGCTCACACACCCCTCTCACTGTATTACTGTTATTCCATTTAGTTTGTTAGTTGAGCAGTAAAATTTACTAAAAGCCTGTTTTCCACTGGACCGGCAATTACTGCCTCGGAAAGCAGAATTCTAAACCTTTCTCCCACACAATCATTTTGACATGGAATGGAAGGCACTGTGCCTGGGAAAACAGCACAAAACAAAACATCATCCAAGCAAATTAAGTATTTTGAGGAATGCAGGGACATATTTTGCCAAAGCCACAAAAAGTTCGTTTCTGGAAGCTCAGATTATAACACTATGGTCATATCATAAAATCCCATTATTTGTCCACTAAAATACTTGTACTTCTATAATTACAGGCAAAACTGACATTTTTATGGGGGGGAAATGAATATAAGATTTATAATATTATGTAACTGAAAACGAACAATTCAATTTGAATTTTACCTTTCTTTCTGGCTTTAGGAGTTGGAACCTGTTGTGGACTGAAAACCTCAAGGAATGATGAGGCAACGATGGGGGTGAGAGGCAGAAGTTCTGAGTTCCAGTCCTGCCTCGGTGGAGTTTCTTCTCGCCTCACTCTGACCTCAGATATTTGCACTCCTATGGCTCCACATTTTCGCCCTTGATGATTTCAGCCACTCTGAGATTTCAACTATAATGTCTATAAAATGTTAAGGAACAGGTACTTGTGTTCTCAGATTTATACTCCTTACTTGCTTCAACATCGGCTGAACACTGACTACAAGCCAGATTCTAGGCTCTGCTGGAAATTAGAAGAAGGCAGAAGCTTTGCCTTCAGTGAGATTAGGTTTTACTGCGGGAAGACAGATAAACTTGAGTATCCTTGCGAATGGGGAAGGTGCTACGGGAACACAGAAGAGAGGCAATTAGCTCACAACGGCATCAGGAGATGATGCCCAAGTTGAGTTCTGAACAAAATGTGCACAGGTCAAAAAGGCAGAAGAAAATTATGAGAACATTCCAGGGTGAGGTGGGGGGAGAAGCAACAAGGACATTTAGCTGTGCCACTAACCACACACACAGAGAACTCTAAGGATTGCAGTAGAGGCATACTTTCAAACACACGGAGTCTTTTGATGGAGAGTGAAGGATAGGGGAAGTCAGTGGGGGGGAGGGGGTAGCAGGACCTATCTGATCACCTTGTGCCCTTTTCAAACTGTCCTGGTAGTTATGTTAAATCCCCTTTGAAGGCTGTGTGCCCCACCCAGCCTGTCTCCAAGGCAGGCCTATTGTCCTCCTCCTGATTACCATGCCCGGTCCCTCTCCTGCAGACCATGAAAAACTACTGCACTATGAATACAAGGGGAAATACACAGAAAAGGGGGAGGAGGGGGAGACTAAAAAGGTACGAAGCCAACAGAATAGTTAGAAGAGAGGGAAGCAGAGAGAACCAGTAAAATCAAAGACTGAGTTTAGGTCTATCCAAAGGCTTCACAGAGCTTGGTAGCATCCCAGCTCAACAAGTCTAAAGTTGTAGTTATTTCTAACACATGAAAGGATGGTAAAGGCAGTCTCTGTGTGGGTGCTTACTAGGTAGCCATATTGAACAAATATTAAGGCATCTGGTTTTTAAAAAAAAAAAAAACAACTATGGAGTTTTTGCATTATGGAGAGAAGAATTTTTTTCAAAGGGATGGACACTGGATATAAAATGATGTCCTTCTGAGAAGCTGTGTGAAAGCTTCAGAGGAACAGGACATCCTAGAGGTGGTGTAGACTTGCCATTTGTCACATTTCCAGTCTTACTGCTCCTAATCCCACTTTAACAGTGAGATGCTGATGGTTTTCTGGAAAAAAACACAGTAAATCATAACACCCCTTCAGCCTGGAATGTCTCTCCTTCTACCCAGTGTACTGAGTTTCCCCTGCCTTCTCAAGGAAGTTAACATTCTTAACCACCGTGAGTTCCTTAAGTGTCACTGCTGTCATTGTCATTATCAAACACTTCCATCTGGGCCAGACTGCTATTCTAACTCCAAGGAATTCGACAGCAACTCCACTTCACAACAATTCTATTAAGTAGGGACCAATAACCTCCCCATTTTACATTTAAGACACGGAGGCATAAAACCTACCCAAAGACGTATCAGACAATGGTAAAGCCAATATTTGAACCCAAGCAGACTGATCCCAGCATCTGTGTTCTAATCTGTAGGCCACAAAAAAGAAAAGTAGGCCACAGAGCGTCCATGTGATAAAAAATGAGATGGATCTGGGCTGCCCGGGTGACTCACTCAGTTAAGCGTCTGACTTCGGGTCAGGTCAGGGACCTGGGATCCAGGGACCTGGGATCCAGCCCCATGCTGGCCTCCCTGCTCCTCTCTCTATAACCTTCCCCTTGCTTATGCTCTCTCTCAAAGAAATAAAATCTTAAAAAGCAAAACAAAACAAAACAAAACAAAAAGATCCTAGATACTACCATATCTACAAGGTTCTAGATGGTCTTAGTCAACATTTCTGTTCAATGAGCTCCTGGAGCTAGAGGTACATACACAATGGCACCTTAATCCAAAAGGCATGCAGTCTGTTCTAAAAACCTCTTTGTTGAAACTTCTTAATTTTTACAAAAATACAGGGCTCTAATTGGCACACCTGAAATGTTAGGATTCACCATTCCTAGGACAAGAAAAGTGTCTGAGAGTCTAATGAAAACCCTTGGCAATTTGAATATTATAAGATACTAAATCATATTATAATTATTGCAAAGGTCAAGAATCTTAAACATTTAGTCTTAAAACTCTCCACTTGGGTGATGCAATCAGAAAATTAAAGTATGTATGAAAATATTTAATTATACAAAGTAAGTAGGAATCTACCTATTTAATAACCTTTAAATAAAAAGTACAATGTTCTCCAACATGGGTATTTTTTTTCCTCTACTGCATAAAAGACACTTTTTAAAATGACATTTTTTCATGAATATGAGTACACATTTATTTTCCAGGGCCAGTTTGAAGGAAGAGTAGGATAAAGGTGTGTGAGATAAAACACTGCCTCACTCACTAACTGGCAGGCAACTCCAGGAAGCCACTGTGCTGGGCACCACGATAAATTAGAAAAACAAAACGGACTCATCTGAGTCCAGCCTCTGGGAAAGGTAAACAAGCACAGGGCAAAAGTCTGCAAATTCCTTTTAGTTGGAAAGGCACATGTATACAAAGATCCCTGCCTAACCCACAGGTAACCGGGTCAACACTGGGTGCAGCGTTGGAATGACCGAAATTACCTTTATATCAGGGAACTCTAGGAAGGCAAAATACCAGTGCTTAGGAGCACAGGCTATGGAGCCAGAATGTCTGAGGTTGAATCTCATTTCTACCACATACCAACTGCTGTCAGTGGGTTCACTTGACCCATCTGTGCCTCAGTTTCCTCATTTACAATGAGAAAATCACACAGAGTTGATGGACTTACAGTGCTATGGGGAGGATACAAGGAGATCACATGAGTGCAGCAGGAACACAGAATGAAGTAACTGACGAATCAACAAGGCTTAGCAAGAGAATTGATGGTGTGCATTTCTACTTGCACTCCCGCCGTAGCTAACCCACGGTTAGAGCTCACGAGATCTTGCCAACGCACGGGCTCAATTCCAAGGCTGGGTGAGTCTTTAGCTTTGTGGCAGCGAGGAGCCGCCATCTCAAGAGGTTTCCCAAACTTGTCAGCAAAGAGGTCCCTACTTCTCTTACTGAAGCAAAATGAAATAGTTAAATATCTAATTCCATCCTCTGAGTCAGAAAAATGCCCCTCTGTTTGTCACTATTATTCATGTGCAACACAAAAATAACCACAAGGGACGTTTGTCCAGAAAAAACAAACATTGTCAAACTGTGGTTAGTTGATTTGAGGTTTATGATGAGTAAGACTCTGCTATTCATTTGCTCATTTTACTGTGAGAGCAACAGGCATAGACAATAAAGATCGAAGAAAATGTAAAACAAAGAAAAACAAAACTGAGAAAACTATATTAAGCCCCTCATTTTTTGAATAATTTTTATCCATTTTTATTCGTGTCCTAAATCGAGTGTTCAACACCTACCGTTCTGACATACAGAGCTCCTGAAATCCAGATGCCATCCCTGTGCGTCAAATCCATCCCTGCCCTTGCCCAGCCCCATTCAGCAAGTATTACATTTCTGCTCAACCTGGAATCCCATATTCTGTTGAGCAAGAAACTTGCCCTGCAATGCAGCAGTCCTACTGGGAGGACAGCATCACAGAATCTTGGAACCCAAACTAACTTGGAAGATTTCTCTGCCAAACCAATTTCTAGAGAAAGCAGCCCCAGAGAAACCCGAGTTGCCCAGCGAGCTGGTGGCCACACTTGCAATATTGGTCCTTTCACTTGCTATCTGCCTGTTCTGTCCTTTTTTGTTTAGCTTACAGCACATTTACCAGAGGAGAAACATAACTTCAAAACTGAAAGTCAGTGCTCAACTTTAAATAGCATCAAAAAGCATGAGGACACCTAATTTGGAGAATATACATGAACTGGGACAAGGAAATTTTCATCTGGATTTGAGCAATCCCCACACCAGGAACATAGAACCGGCTAAGTTCTATAGCCTCCTGGCCAAGTTCTGGATAGGACACTGTACCATATATTTAGACCTCTTCATTTGTGTTTCAGAGGACTCGTACCTCCACTCCAATCTGGAAAACATTTCGTGATAAAGAGCAGGATTATCCTTAATCCTTATCCCCCTCTCACACTCAAAGAACTGAAAGAGAGAGGGAGACAAAGAGGAAGAGTAGAATTCTCTTCAACACTATTGATTCTCCTCTTCCTTTGTGTGTTACTTAGGAAGCTGTATTCCTGGGGCACCTGGGTGGCTCTGTTGGCTAAACGTCTGACTCCTGATTTCAGCTCAGGCCATGATCTTGGGATTGAGTCCCCGTGTCAGGCTCCGTGCTGGGCATGGAGCCTGCTTAAGACGCTCCCTTCTCCCTCTGCCCCTCCCCCTACTCACACTCTCTCAAATAAATAATAATCTTTAAAAAAAAAAGAAGAAGCTGCCTTCTTCCATCAGAAATAACTTGAGATGTGATATTAAAAATAAGAAAATAATGAAAAATTTTCTAAAAATTCCACAAGCTATTTCAAGTTGGATTGATACGCACTGTTCAGGTTGGACTGAGAGAGCATTCTTTAAAATAAGTAAATATTAAATGGCAAATAAGAGGTTAAGGCAGTAATAAGTAAATTCAAATGTATAAAACAAGTAGATCTCAATTATTTCACCCAATCACCTAGAAGCAAAGATACTCTAAAGAAAATTGCATTGCCTTCCCAACTCCTTGGAGAGCCAGTTTAGTTAACAGCCTCTCTCTGCTTCAGAGATGACCATACAGCTTACATGTCAAACTCATTTTAAAGTGTCAATCATGTCCCTTTCAATCTAATTAGTTTGGAAAGTAGTGTCACTGACCTAGAACTATGCAGACCATTTATTATCATATCATTTGATCAACCTAACACTTTACCTCAGTTGAGTTTGAGACACCTGTAGCCAAAATGTAATATCCTTTCTCCCACTCACTACTGGTAACTCTCGATACAATTTCCTATTTACAACTCAATTTATCTCTATGGATAAGCATGGCCAACTTCACAGAAGCATCGACAGAATTTGCCTTACTTAAGATTTCATGGTAATTAAAATTGAAAGGTAAGGGGAGTAAGAAAAAAACCAGATATACCTCAACGAGCGGGAGGAAAGATACATCTACATCTATATTTAGAAAACAGATTTGAGTTTTTGGATCCCAAGAACTGCTAAAGGAGAGGAAAGAGGAAAAAGAGAGGAACACGGATAGGCTGGCAGAAATCTGGGACCTTATACATGGTAGGGGGACTATTCTTTTTACAAAATATCCGCATATAATATGGCAAGCTAGTTTTATAAAAGAAGTCTGTGGGTTATAAACCCACTGTCATCAGATGGGTTCGTGTCATAATAGAGAAAACCTTTCTCAGGTTCATAGTATTTAGCCTTTGACCTGGCCAAGGGCAGGATGGAGCAGAACTGAAGACATAAGAATTAGCTCCTGAGAGGTCAGAGAATACCCCTGTACCTCCATGGGAGGAGCTAAAGGCCAGAGCAGAGCGAGTGGGGAATGGTGGGGGGGTTGGTTGTGGAAGCCCTGATGGCTGGAAGATACTAGCATGGCCCACTCTCTGGCAAGAACATGACAACCACCAAATCCCTTTCTCATTTTAGTGCTGCGTATTTAAGAACTCATTTGCACATACTGTATGGAGCACTGGGTGTGGTGCATAAACAGTGAATTTTGGAACACTGAAATAAAATAAAAGAACTCATGTGCAAGATGAACATGCAAGCAGGTCATCTCTCTGAACCACAGAATAATAAAATGAAGCAGAGACAGAGAAAACACATGCATCCACCACCAGTATGTTGCCTTCATATTTTTAAACGTGGTATGAAAAACAGTAAGTATATCAGTTCTATTTAAAGTAAGGACTCCTCACTCTAGAAGACAATAATCTTTAAAGCAGGATGTCAGCTGCTGGCACTTCCTTTCCTAGCCTGTGTTTCCCTTTGGAGTGGTTGCATTTTACCAAAATTCCAGTTTGTCTGAAATATAGGCAGGAGTCTTGGTTCATGTTTGCTTGATCAAGTAGTTATTGGTGAATAGGATTTTCATCCGGTCAAATAAAATAAGCATATATCTCCAACTTACCTTCAGGTGAAGAGCCTGTCTTTTGGGAGAAGACAGCATTTACTTTACTCTTCTTACTGATATCGCTGTTTACAGACAAGCTGGACTGAATTTTTCTATGCATTTTGTGAGAAACAGGTGCTGAAAGTCTTCGATTCTCTGCAGATACATGCTTGGCCCCGTGGTGAATTCCATTTCCATTGCTCAGACTTGTGTGGCCGTTCTTTATCTTGCTGGTTTCTTCCTCAGTTGGTTCCTGTGAGCACGCTGGAAGCTGAGGCAAGCGCTGGGGTTGGGCTAAACAACAGGAAAAGTTGGTCCAGTTAAAAAAGAAATATTTGAAAAATCATCAAAATAGATTCGGAACAGATTCCCCCCCCCCCTCCCCTGCCGCTCCGGGCTTTGCCCACGGTTCTACAAAATGGAGAGGAAAAAAAAGGAAAAATACTAATAAACATGGACATTGAGGAAACATAATAAGTAAAAAGGTTAGTGGGGCAGGGTCATCAAAAGTGACTTTATACAAGGCCTATGAAAATAGTGGGAAAGACTGCTTTGTTTTTTAAGAAAATTTAAGTTGGGATTTATAGGCCTGTGCCCCTGGGGCAAATAATACATTATATGTTAATAAAAATAATTAAAAAAAAAGAAAATTTAAGTTGGAAATCTGAAAAAGTTATTACACACTCATTAGACAGCAAGTGTTTGTTTTTCTATGTACCAGGTCCCTCTCTTTTGGTGCTAGAAACATGGCAATATTATCTCAATAACCCTGATACTGGGATAAAATATTTAATCATCTTTTGAGAAAAAAGGAAAAAAGCAATGAATCCAAGTATCATAACTAGACAATATAGAAAGAAATAGTTTTCTTTTCAATTTCATTTTACTTTAATGTTTTAAAAAAGTTTTATTTATTGAAGTAATCTCTACACCCGGTGTGGGGCTCCAACTCATGACCCCAAGATCAGGAGTTGCATGTTCTTCTAACTGAGCCAGCCAGGCACTGTTTCTATCTCATTTTGAATCCTGGAGAAAACATTCCCTATATTTATTTTTTAATTTGGTATAAAAAATAAACCATTTATGAAAAGTTGGAAGTAGAATCTGATAAAACACATCTGCCAAAATTAAATGTCAGCACTTAAGAAATGCTCCCATTCAGGTCAGGACCAAGAAAAAGTGGCTCAGCTTCATCCCTCTTATTCGACATTACACTGGAGGCACTGGTGAAAGCAATATAACATGAAAAAGAAATAATAGGTCTGGAAAAAATATTTTTGAGATGCATCCCTAATTTGAATGTTCTAGGGGAAATTTTAGGAGACTACAAACCCTGAAACACTAAGAATTTAACAAGATATATACAAGATCAACCACATTAAAATCAACAAAGTTCCTCTATGCCAACAGCTAATATACAAGAAAAAATGAACCCTTTACAATATCAAAAAAATAAAAATAAAATAAAGGGAAAAGCCCCTCCCAAAGCTCCCATTAAGTATCTAAGAATTAAGCTAGGAAAAAAAAAATGGGGAGATTCTTGGCAAAAAATCACAGAACAATACTGAAGGACATAAAACAAAATCCTACTAAGTGTAGAGTAAATATTCATTCCCCCCAATTTATTTGTTCAGTGTAATTCCCATAAAATTTCCAACAGACTTTTACATGGAACTTGAGAAGCTGATCCAAAAATTTATAAGGAAAAGTAACCAAGAATCGCTAAAGCCATTTTAAGGAAGTAAAAGAGGGTTGCAGCACCTGACTTACTACACAGTCTTCTTAAGAAACTCCAGCAACTAAAGCCATGTATTATGGGTCCAGCACAAATAACCAGCGGAAAAAGAAGAGAGCACTCCAAATATGTATGTGTTTGCACATCTAAGTGCATATATACCTTATGGCGATAAATTACAGGTGCATGAAATGCCTATATATGAAAAGCAAAACACTTCAGATTGAAGAAAAAATATGAGAGGTGCCTGGGTGGCACAGTTGGTTAAGCATGGGACTCTTGGCTTCAAGCTCATGCCATGATCCCAGCTCTCTAGCATGCATGCTCGCTCTCACATAAATAAAATCATTAAAAAGAACAGAAGAGACTTACCACCATGATACTAAGGAAGGACAAATTTGATTCTTTGGACAGTGACTCGTAAAGAAGCAGGATGACTGATAGGGAAAAACTGTACTCTAAGATGGCTGACCAGACCAGCAAGGGAATTCCAGTCCCGTCTCAAAGCCCTTCCAGGTTCTTCTTTCCTACTCCGATTCCGGCATGCGTCAAAAGTACCAAGTATGGGGAAGTAGAAGGGTATAAATCCCCCTCCCTGCTTGTGCTCAGGGCTCAGACCTTTGGAGAACCTCCTCCTCTGAGCCGCAGGTGTTAATAAATAAACCTCCGATCCTCCAAAGTCTCCGAGGGCCGTTTGGTTCTTCCACCAGGATCCAGTCCGGGTTCTGCAACACGACTATTCATCATTTGTGCTGCCTGGAACTTCTGAACACCCTCACAGATTTTCTGGTCAATACCTCTATCCCATTCCTCTGCTCTTCTGCAGTTAGGGGGCAGATATGTGACCTAAGCTCCACCAAGCACAAGGATGACTTACAGACCAGCAGTGGCCATTGCAAGACCCCAGCCACGACAGGGACGTGGAACTCTCAGCACAAACGATACAGAAGGCGTTTGTTGGTCTTGGCAGTGGGGTGCAGTGTCTGATATTCACTCCCTAGCGGACCATGGGCTGATGGTGCAGCAGTGGGGTTGTCAACAGAGAAGCCCCACTGAATGGATGGGAATGATCTTGGCTTTGGAACTCCTGGGAGGGTCCGTGTGCTGGCAGCAAAAGGCAAGCTGAGGACGAAGCACAAGCTGACACCCTGCAACATTTCCACCCACTGCCCCCACTCCTGGGTGTCCCCATCCCTCCAGGTAGCTCTCAACTGTCTTAATATTGATGCCTTACTGGAGGGGAAAATCAACCTTAACTTGACAATGCAAGGCCTCCAGTATCTTGTAGGCCCTCCTTAGCATAAGAAAGTTCTTTTGAAAACCTCCCTTCTTCCCTACCCCTAACTCCCGAGTATGTAACCAGATACTCCTCACAACAACCCCCCAGCCCCACCCCGTGCTGCAGCTCTTTCTGCCCTCAGGTCCTGTCCCTGTGCTTTAATAAAACCACCTTTTTGCACCAGAGGTCTCAAGAATTCTTTCTGGGCCGTTGGCTCTGTACCCCACCCCACCAAACCTCACCAATTCCAAAACTACATCACTAGTAAGTTTTTTTCCATTTAAATTAGCCACAGTGAATTCGAGTTTTTGCAGCTAAAGAGCCCTGATTCCTCTCTCTCCCAAATGTTATTTGTTTATACTGGTTAAGAAATGAGGTTATTAAAATCAACATTTACATTGATTGAGTGGCCCCTAAGCAAAGCTATCAATCATAGTGCTTCAGCAAAAACAACAGAAAGAACAAAAACTATACCATTCCTTGCCAAAATTTTACTATTTTACAATTTCCTGTAATTTCAAAACCAAAACCTGCTATTTTAATTAGTCTTTTTTTCCATTTATGATTATGAGCAGTTATGAAATGTAAATTAAATCTGAATACTAAGAACTCAATTTAGAAAAAGTGCTGCATGCAAAGTTTAAGAATTATACACGGCATTGACAATGTCTAAAAGGACCTAATTATCTGTGATCTGGGGATTAGCCAAAACGGAATATATTTTTGACAAAGAAGATAGTTTGCATTTGAGTAGGTTTTTAGCACATTGTTTACTTCCATTTTTATTCACATATCCTATGTCTCTTGAAGAAAAACATCTTTAACATATCAAAACATTCTACTCATGATTGTGCCTATTTCAATTTTAAAGACATTCATTTCTTTATTTAACAAACAAAAGCATACTTTCCTACCAAATCTTGTTACCATTAATACTCGATTTATGAAACTTATGAACTCCTCATACAGTACAGTTTTTCGGTTCTTCAGCGATACTGGAGAATGATTATCTAAAAATTAAAATTTTGGGAAAACCACAAAGTAATGGTGTGAAAATATATCAAAATATTTTGGTTTTCTCCTTATTCTTGATGGAAAAAAAAAAAGGTTACTTCTCTGTTCAGCAGCTCTATGTGACCTTCTTATAACAAAATTGGACAAGGCATCTGCAAGAGGAGATCTATTTCTTATGGGTGTGCAATCATTTGATCTAGAGATTAATCTGCTGCTCCCCTAGCTTCTTTTATCAACTAGAATGACATCCTAATGACTGCTATTGAACATGGATAGTTATGCATATGTATTTAAAGGGATGCCAAAGAAGACAGTTAAACCTCATTTGGTGCTCTTTTCAGAGCATTTACCAGTAATCTCGCCAAATAAATGGAATGTTTTGGCCCACTTTTTCTCTGAAAAGAATATTTCAAGCAATCTGAGAGCTTGCTTAAATTGAAATGTCCAACTGACCCATGCTAAGTAGCCTTCTTATCAATCAAAAATGTCCTGTCATAGTCCTTATGGATAAATTTAAAATCCGAGATAAATTTAAAATTACCATGTCATAGTTAAACATTCTCAGTAAATAA